AACCCGAATGCACCGATTCGAGAATTCTGGTCGAAAAGACTCGACTTCGGATTAGTGTGCTCCCCATACCTCCATTGCCAAGGTCTCATTCGTCATCTGGAAGACTACAGAGACATCCGGGAGACGCGGTCCTCATCGAAGAAATAATTAAGTACTTCTACATGGACGATGTTTGTTTCGGAGAAAACACTATAGAAGCAGCTAAACACCGGATTCTAAGAGTTTTCGCGATGTTCGAAGATGGACACATGCCGCTAAAGAAATGGTCCTCGAACTCACAGGAAATCGGAGATTTCATTCGCGGACAGTCTCCGGTCCCAGACCCGATCATTACAACAAACCACGCTGAAGCGAAATTCCTGGGAATTCCATGGAATCAGGGCTCTGATAGGCTCTCAGCCCCAGTCGACAAGGCATGGGAAACACTAACCGCAGGCACTCCATGCAAAAGGAGATTACTCCGGAGCCTAGCATCTATTTTCGATCCACTCGGAATCGTAGCACCGTTGACAATGAATGCCAAAATTCTCCTCCAATCAACCTGGAAGACAAAGCTCGGCTGGGATTCTACGCTTTCAGAGACGCAAACGACAGAATTCAACGTGTTCGCCGAAACCTTGAAAGCAGCAAAGGACTTATCCATACCTAGACTCATGCTAGGCTCGAACGAGGTTTCCCGGACGTTACATATCTTCTGCGATGCCTCACTCAAGGCCTACGGATGCGTTGCGTACCTCAGAGAAGAATCGAACAACGACGAACCATATGTCTCCTTCGTCATAGCGAAAGCTAGAGTGGCACCTATAAAAGCGATGACAATACACCGGCTCGAACTCTTAGCAGCCTTAATAGGCGCGAAGATAAGCAAACTTATATCCTCATGCCTCGACCACAAACTGAGTCGAACGCAATTCTATTCAGACAATTCAAGCGTCGTCGGTTGGATTCGATCGAACCCGGAAAAGTTCAAGCCCTTTGTGGCAAATAGAATAAGGCGAATCCAAACCCTGGTAAATCACGCCCACTTCAA